AAAAAAAAAAAAAACAGAGAATTTTCCATGAATATTTAGAATATTTATGAAAATATAAATAAATAAATAAATATGTTTGACTCTCACCCTTTTTCGTGTTTTCATATCGTATTCAGGGGTTATATAGAGTAGAATCTCAACCTTTTTTTTGTTTTTTTTTCACCATAAATTCATTAGAAATTCATAGTCTAAGACGACACTAAGAAGAAAAAGAAGAAAAACCCCTTTCTTTTTAAAATTTTCTTCCCTTACATTCACGATGATGATTCAAACCATTTAAAATAATAATAATGATAATGTTTCACATAGATAGATAGATAGAGGGGAGAAAGAAAAAAGAAAAGCTTTTCGTGCAATTTAAAGTAAAAAAAAAAAAAAAAACATTAAATTTTGAATTGCAAATTATTTTTTTTTTTAAATAAAATCAAAATGATGGATTGTGTTATTTAGCAAATTGATAATTAATTGTTTTGAATTATTATTATTATTAAGGAAATGAGTTGTCAAGATATATATATATATATAGTTTGGTTATCGATATCAGATTATGGTAGAAAAACAAACTGAGTTTGCCAGGTAATGACACTCAGAATAAGTGTTGAGAGAAGACCACTTTACTCACGAGTGCTGTACAAAATAGTTAAGTAACTCTTGCCGCCATCTTGTGGCCTCTTTTGGGAGTACTGAGTTTAAATTGTTTTTCTTTTATTATTATTATTATTTATATTTATTATTATTATTAATAAAATATGCATTAGTGCAATAATGAGGTTGTTTTAATTTAAACAATAAATTAATTTATTTTTTTTTAATTTTCGGTTGCATTTAATTAACGACAACAGCAGGGAAATTTTTTTTTCAAATGTTGTCCATTAAGGCGCGAATCGGATTTCATAAATGTTTTGTTTAGTAAATGCATATTAAATGAAATTTTTTTTTTTTTTTTTTGGGGGTTTTTTTAAATAAATTTTTTTTTTTTTTTTTTTTTTTTACGTGCACTTCCTGTGCTTGCTGGCAATAATTTTGGTGTGGATGTGGTTGCTAGGCAACATTGAGATACTTGAGGTGCTTGGGGTAGTCATGGAAACTGATGGGCGGTGGAAGAGGCCTGAGAGGGGGCTGGCACTTGAGTTTTTTAAGAATAGGGCGTCAAGTGCTCTTTTGGCTTTGGCCCCCTTTCCAGTTTTATGCTCTACACGAGCTTTATTGCTGTGGACCTAATCTTAGGAGAGTCCGAGTTGAACCATGAAGCGATGCCGGAGATTCAAGAGTTTAGGAACTTTCACCCTCGAGATTTAGTATACTTTCACTATTTATTGCTTATTAAAAAAAAAAAAAAAAATCGTCTTCTTACTTTTTTTTTTTTATAATTACCGAAAAAAAAAAAATAAATAATAACAATATACAATTATTTCTCGTTTCGATTTCTTATTATGACGTGTCATAAGAATTTTTTTTTGTCGAAGATTTCCATAGAAGTCATAGAGAAAGAAAATTTTTGTTTATGACCGCACACGATTAATAACATTCGATACGGGTGCTGACCAAATAGTAAAATGGAAACATTCGCTCCAGGATATTAACTGTCTTGCCCAGCTGGAGTTTGACTTTGGTGTTATCCACCCTTTCTTAAATTCCCTAATTTATGTTTGATTTAATGCGTTCAACCATTTAACGAAACGATTTTTATTTGCTCTTTTATTAATTTGCAATCTTTTTTTTTTACTCATTTTTTTCCATTTTTCGATCCAACTAACGTTTTTCATTTTTTTTCGTCTTAATGTCAAATTATTATTATTAATAAATAATTTTAATATTAATTATTACGATTATTTGTTTCTTTAAAGTAATGATAAAAATTTTATATTAATTATTATTTTTTTTTTTTTTGGTTAAAAAAATTCCCATGATTGAAATCAGGTTTGAGTTTTAAATTCGAATCATCGATTTGGAAATCAAAAATTATTTAAAAAAAAAAAAAAAAAATTTCATGAGAAAAAAGGAAGTGAATAAAGTGTGAGTGTAAGTAAAAAAAATCCCACGAAGGTTTTTTTGCGCGCCAACAGATTTAGGGAACAACATTTGGTATCCTGTTGATTTGAGTTATTTTATTTAAAAGAAAGTGCGTTCACCTGATTTAATAAAATGAGGGCCCCACAAGGTGGGCCTTTCATTTAAATTTTTTCATGTGGCAAATCAAGTGGGTGTCCTGTAGATTTTTTTTTAAAAAAAATATCTACTCTATATACACTTATATGATATTTTTAATTCGTTGTCAAATTCGATGAATTTTTTTTCTTTTAATTATTAAAATGATTGTCGGTTAAAAAAAAATAATTTCGTCCGTTATTTTATTTATTTTCGTACCGAATTTTTAACAAATAAATAAAATTTAATTTTATTTCGAAATTCTTTTTTTTTTTTACGATTTCAAGTAAAGATTTAACGGTTTAAAAAAAATGGAGTTGCATGGAGGTCAAATATTTTTTATTTTTCAGTTGTTTTATTATATATAAAAACATAGATAAAAGGTTTGTCGGATTTTTTTTTTTTTTTTGTTAAAGGCGAACAAATACCTCTGTATCCAAGAGGAGAGAAAGAGAGAGAGAGAGAGAGATCAAGTGGATTACAAAGTTATTTACAATAAAAGCGACTAAACTCTACCAACCGTGTTGAGCTCTTTGAATATATTTCTCATACCATCCATATCCGGATAATCCACCTTCCCTAGAGCGACAAATTTATTTTTTCTTTTTTTATTTACCACCACCACCACCACCGCCGCCGCCACCACCCCAAGCTACGAAAATCTCATTTTCCACCCCA